GTCCGTTAATAATTTTTTCTCTATTTTCTAAAAATTAGAATTATATATTAATTATAATAATAATAATAATTAATAATATAGAAGAAAATATATAAATGAGAAAATTTGTTGAAATAAAAAACTCCCTTAATTAACCAACCGCTTCCCGTGCATTGTTTCCTTAGAGTGGAAGACATTTTTTATTTTAGCCGAGGAATGAGTCAAATTGGGGGCTTTTAAATAATGAATTAAACGGAGATATTATGGATAAGCATCTTAATTGGCAGACTATTTTATATAATTATTTATTTTTTGGGATTAAAAATTGACTAAACAATTTTTTTTGTTGGTGACATCTGTTCATGTGAAAGCAGAAGTGACATACTGACATTTTCTTAACAGCGTAATTTAATGCTGCTTATATTGTATTCTTTTTTTTTTTTTTTTTGAAATATTATATTTTATTGCTCTAAGGAGTCTTAAATGGCTCAATATATTAACTCGAAATAAAATAAATTTAAAATTTTGAATTTGAGTTGACTCGAATAATATAGGGGTTGAGCTCAAGTAAAAAATGCCGACTATTTTAATATTGACATTGGGTTTGATTGACCCAATGATCCAAATATAACCCATTTCATTTTTTTTTTCAAGTCTAAAATGAATCATCTTTTTAACAAGTAGATCATTCGTCATTCGAATAACTTTATGAACCATATAATAAATAGGTCATATGCGTCAGATTTAGGGTCAAATGATTTGTGCCAAATCAAATTCGTATCAAATATTTCGACTCGTAGAATAAATGGGTCGAGTTTGGTGCAATATGTTTCATATTTGATCAAATTCGAGTCAAATCCAAATCGATCTGTTAACTTAGACTGGCACCCGCCCATAGACCTAGCGGGGCGGAACCAACCTTAGTTCTCAGGAGGCAAATGACAAACTAATAAAAAAATAAAAATATATATGAGGGTGCAAAAATAATTTATTTTGAATATAATCATGTTTCACATACATGTTTGTTAGTAGTAGAAAAATTCAACATAGTCGGATGAAAATATCGAGAGGTCAATAGGCTTTTCAATTTTTGGAGAGGCAAGTTGCGTGAAAAAATGATCGGCTTGGGTCAAAAAATAAATTCAAGAGGGACATATTACAAATAAACCTTACTTTACCAAAAGTTTAAATTTTGTTTGGGTAGGTAATTACCAGCCCTCAGCTATACACATCTTCGTATCTGAATAGCCCATTCACTCTTTGCAATATGCTTGATTTTTCACCTAAATAAATCTCTTTATTTTTTAAAATCTATCAAATTATATCATTTAAAAACAAATTAGTACTACTAATTATCATATATTTTAATTATATAAAGATAGGCGTAAAAAATATTAAACTTATATATATTTGCAAAAATATTAAACTTATACATTACAAATTAGATTATTTTGATGGCCATATCCAATAGAATTCGAACCAAATATCACTAATTTTTTTTCTACCACATTTATTTGAACGAGTTTTACCTATTTTTATATCAATTTAATTAAAAAAGCCATCTAATATATTGAAAAATATAAAATTATTTTTAAAACTTTTGAATTATTTTTTAAGTTTAATTTATCTATTTTTTAAAAAAATAAAACTATCAATTACTCCTTAATGTCATCAAAATTCTATGTATTAATTTCTACTACTTAACATCATAATTATGTTCTCAATCATTTAAAGTTATTCAATTAAAAATAGAACAAGAATCGATCATATGTTTGATTTTTTAAATTCGGCCATATGTATGCATGCAAACATAAAATAATTTAGGTTGGGAAATAAACCACCTAATGAAACAATTAAGAAAAAAAAGCAAAAATGGAAATTAGGATTCAAAGTGGAAAAATATTAAGAGGCTACAACACATTAAGAAATTCATTGTGAAAGTGAGAGAAAGTGTACATATCTCTTCCTTACTTATTTCTTGCCTCACATCATTTCCCTTTTTGTTTTCATACAAAATAGACAAAGAGTTTTGATGAAGGGTCTCAACCATACAAGTTAAACATAAAAAATGAGAAATAAAATTGTCCAGCCCGATTTTCAGTGTTGTGGCGCCGGGGTTTGGAGAGCCAAGAAGTTCCATGCTCCATCTCTGACCTTGACTTGGAATGCCATGGCGTTGCAACCTACAACACTTCAGCTCTCAAGTATACAATGCCCCCAATCCCAGGGAGTACCAACCCATCCTCCGTGCACTGTTCCGAAGAGCTTGACTGATGGAATTGAAATCTGAGTCAACAATACAACCAGATTGATCAACACAATCAAATTCCTTATATAAAAAATAATTTAATTTTTTAAACTCATAAATACATTCACAGTTTTTCAAAAATGATTATTTATTTTCACATTTAAATCAATAAAAAAATATAATTTTTAAATATAATTTTCATTAACAAAATGAGCACCGAGAACTAAGACTTCAAGAGGAGAAGCAAGTGGGAAATGGCGAGGAATTAATTGAATGAAGGCGAGAGCATGACCGAGTCCAAAGTTGCTTTCGTGTTGGTGAAAATAACCGATTGAAAAGAAATTTATATAGTCTCACAATTGTTCATAGAGGAATAATTACGTGGATTTTGTGTCGCATGCGAGTTTCGTCGAAATTTACCCGCATTTATTTATTCGCATTTTAATTTGGCTTGAAAGACTTGGAACTATGCAACACCAAGAATATTTGTAATTATTTATTTATATTTATTTTACATTTTATTATGTTGATGAAAGAAAGATGAGGTTGGAAGAAAGGTGGGATGAGCTTACGGCACGTGATATCGGATTATAAGGTAATAAAATATACAGCTTTGAATTAGTAAACATAGTGATGTGAAGTGAATTTGTTTTGTGCTGGCTACCTATATTTTCTTTGGGGATGTTTGGTTGTGAATATTTAAGATATATAAATATTTTTAATATAGTATTATATATATATAATGCTGAGTTTGTGCAAGTGGATAACTTGAAAGAAAATCCGGTGTACTCTAACAATTATATTGAAGTCCCTGTAAAGTTGGTCGATACGCATACTTTGGTTAATCGTTTGGGGAAAAATTTTGGATTTGAAATGAGGAACCATATGGATTGGTTGAATGGATCGTCTGAGTTTGAATCGGAGTCCGATTTTTCGGATTGTGGTTTGGCTTCCTTGGACATTTGCGGTGGATCTGACCCTGGAATCGACTTTAATTTAGTTTGTGATAGACCTGTTGCCTCTCGTGGGAGATTTCGTGGGAGGGGATGGAGGAAAAGAAAATTTGTTTGTTTGCTGTTTGTTCCATATGTTTGTGCGGATTGGTTTTGCGATTAGTGGTGCGATGGTTTATTGGGCAATGATGTGGCTGGGGTTCGTATCCCTTTCGTCTCGCTGGTGGCAACCATTGATGCAATTTATTAGAGTTGGTGACTTTTGGGCGATGCTGTCTCCTTTAGGATGGTCCGTGCGAGGCTTCTGGGATGCTGGGAGCCTCGGCCGTTTTTACTGAGCCCACTTTTGAATGTATTTTGCTTTCTTTCTTCTTTTTTCTTTTGTTTTGATCATTTGCTGATGTAACCGAATTTGTTCTATCTTAATATATTTGGTTTTGTTAATATATATAATAAGAGGCTGGGCCCTATGATCATAAAAGATTTTGGAAGCCTTTTGAATGAAAGAATTGGACTTTGGCATCATCGGATAATGCGTGAGTTGTCCTTTGTTGTGGGATTTTTTTTTTTTGGGAACGGGGTACTACTCACTGTCATCCTCGAAAAGGCACTTGACAGCGTGATTAATCCTCGTCTGACTTAGAAGAGGCACCCACCTAAGAAACTTCCTAACCCGCACTTAATTGAGTCTCACTTAAGAGGTGCTGCCACTCGAGGGGATTAATTAGAACAGGGGTTGGGGGGTTCCCAATCGTACTCGACCACCAACCAAACTAAGCAATGATGGGTTGTTTAGAGATTTTCACTCTAATGAGATTTTGATTGTGCATTAATTCAACTATTTTGATTCATCTAGAAATTGATACATCTTAATAGAAAAAATGTGCTTCCTTTGATGTATATTTGGCATGCTAATGAATAAAAAATATTATGAATGCATATATTATTTTTCTGTTATTTTCAAAATAAATAAATTTAGTATTAGTGTCAATTTGTAAATAAATATTGGTAAATAATTTATTTTTTGATACTTTATTTAATAAAAAAGAACATTCATAATTATTTTGAAGTTCAAATATTTTAAAAAATATATAGAAAATGTGGAAACTCACTACAGATATATAAAAATAATAAAATAATTACTTCTTTTTGAAAAATGCATGACTAATGCCATACAAAAAAAATCTTTTTAAAAAACAAAATAAAATGTCCCAAAATAAAATTTCCTAAATCTTATGAGCACTCACGAAAAAATCTCTCAACTAACACAAATTATTTTGGAACAAGTCTACCTTGAATTTCTTCGATTTAGCTTGAGCTTGAGCTTGATGTTCATGCTCAAGCAATTGAGTGTTGTTCTGTGAGTTTGATCTAGCTCATTTATTATGAAAGAGAGAAAATAATTATGATTTATGTAATTATTAATTATTAATTATTATAATGGATTAATAAAAAAGAACGAGAAACTATAAGAAAAATAATAAAGAATCTTTTAATATAAGAAAGTGAGGTATAATTTTAAATATTTTTAACAACTTTGTACTTTTTTTTAACAAAAAATAGATATATTAATAAAACTAAAAAAAACGGTTACAACAGCAGGAGGAGAGAAAGAGAGCGAAAACGGAAAATTACAATCAAATAGTGAGCTCAGTAGAATGGCCGGGGCTTCCAGCGTCCCTGAAGCATCGCACGGACCATCCAGTAAGGTGGAAACAGCGTCCAACAACCAACCGATCCGAAGAATTCACACCAAAGGTTGCCACCAGCGAGAGCGACAAGGACGTGAGCACCAACCCCATCATAGCTCTTAATCCAGCGCACCAGCACATTGAGAAACAAAAAAGCATAGCAAACCCGAAGAAGGAACATGGACAAATCAATAGAAATGGATAAATTAAGGTCTACGCCGGCCTCTACCACGAAATCTACCCCTAGAGACAACATTTGAAACAGGTCTAGCATGAACCAGAGTGAAATCATTACCAGGGGGCAGAACCCCCACAAAAATTCGGAGAAGCCAGACCACCATTTGAAAAATCGGATTCAGATTCATATTCCGACGAACCATGCAACCAGTCAACGTGATTCCTAATATCCAAACCCGCAGTATTACCCAAGAGGTTAACGAAGTGAAGCGTTTCAACAATAGTAACCGGGACATCAACAAGAGAGTTAGTGTAGAAACTGAAGTGCCAGCGAGAGAAGTGTTCGCCGGACTTGGAGAAGATGAGCTCACAAGAAGACAGAAAGGAAAATGATTTATTTCATTGGTTACTTTACATCAGAGTACACATACCTATAAATAGATGAGACAGAGTAACTTTACACGTGTAAGCAAATGATATGTTTACAAGAAACTTATTAACAGGTTATTATAGGTAACTAAGTGATTAGGTGCTAATATTCCCCCTCAAACTTGCGATTCCTCTCTGATCGTCAGCTGGGATCGCAAATGTTTGAACCGAAGAGTAGGAAGCGGTTTGGTAAATATGTCTGCGATCTGATCCACAGTGCTTATTGGGAGAAGACTGATGGTTTTGTTCGAAATGTGATCTCGGATGAATCTCTGATCGGTCTCAATATGCTTCGTACGTGCGTGGAAGACCGGATTGTTCGCCAAAGCTATTGCCGATGTATTGTCACAATAGACTGCAATCGGGGTATTGTGCAGAATATTGAAATCAGCGAGAAGACGTTTCAACCAGATTGTGTCCGCGGTAGCTGCAGCCAATGCCCTGTATTCGGATTCTGTGGACGATCGAGATACGGTGCTTTGCTTCTTCACGGTCCAGGAAACCAGTGTGTCTCCTAGAAAAGTGCAAAAACCAGATGTTGATTTCCTGGTTATCGGATCCCCTGCCCAGTCGGCGTCCGAAAAAGTGCAGAGGATCATGGAGGATTTTGTAATGGGTAGTCCAAAGTTGATGGTGCCCCGGATATACCGAAGGAGGCGCTTTAAGAGATGAAAATGAATGGGTTGAGGATCGTGCATATGCTGGGACAGAGTGTTGATGGCATGAGCTATGTCTGGACGTGTAAAAGTCAAATACTGGAGTGCTCCCATGATTTGCCGATAGGTGACAGCGTCTGAAATAGTATTGTCTTGTTTAAATTGAATGGGCTGTTTAGTAGAAGATGGATTAGACAGGGAATTGCATTTTTGTAGATTAGTTTGCTGAAGTAGAGATTAAGCATAAGATTGTTGTGACAAAAAATACTTATCTTGCATGGATTGAATAGTGATCCCGAGAAAATGACGAGCTAAGACGAGTTGTTTCATAGTGAATTTGGAGTATAAGTTGTGTAGAAAATTGGCTATGGCTTCGTTGTCGTTGCCCGTGATTAGAATATCATCCACATACACAAGTAGAAAAAGCTGAGTGCGTTGCCGATGGTAGACGAGCAGCGAGGGATCTGCCTTGCTATGCTAAAAACCGATATTGATGAGATGATTAGTGAATGTGGTGTACCACTGTCTAGGAGTCTGTTTAAGTCCGTATATGGCTTTCTTGAGGCAGCAGACGTGGTCCGGTGATATGTTGTCTTCGAATCCTTTGGGTTGGCGCATGAATACCGTTTCTTTCAGGCTACCATGAAGAAATGCATTCGTGACGTCAAGCTGCTGCACTTGCCATCCATTGTATAAGGCAACTGTGAAAAGAACCCGGATGGTGGACAGCTTTGCAACGGGGCTGAAAGTTTCTTCATAATCCAGTCCATATTCTTGCCGGTTGCCTTGTGCGACGAGACGAGCCTTGAATCTTGATACAGTCCCGTCAGAATTGAATTTCTTGCGAAAGGTCCATTTGCATCCGAGAATGGATGCATTGGACGGTGGTGCGACTAGGTCCCAAGTGCCTTGCTATTGAAGCGCCGCGAACTCCTCTGCCATAGCTTGACGCCATTCAGGATGCTTGATGGCTTCGGAGTAGCTTGTGGGGACATTTTGTGTTTCCTGTTGAGCAACATGATGAAGCAGGTTTAAACGAGAGATTGGTTTAAGTGAACCTGTTTTGGATCGAGTTGTCATGTGGTGTTGTGTGGTAGGCTGAACATAAGGAGGATCTTGATTCAGAGCAGAGGAGATTCTGGCCGGTGAGTGGGATGTAGTTGTAGATTCGAGTAGAGGTGTCAGCATAGTTGGTATGTTGCTGGAGTTAGTCAATGCTGAACGATATCCTTCCTGTACTTTGGAGACCGGTAGAAGAAGTTGAGTGGGCAGGGCTTGCATTGGTGTTGTGAGAGGTTGAGACTGTTGTTGAAAAGGAAACATGTTCTCAATGAATTGAACGTGTCTGGAGATGGTTATGGTATTGGTTTCTTGGTTAAAACACTTATATCCTTTGTGCTTGTCTGAGTAACCCATAAACACGCAGTTAGCAGATTTGGGTTGAAGTTTATTAAAGGAATGCGGCGGGAGAAGAGGGAAACAAGCACAGCCGAATGTTCGCATGTGAGCGTAGTCCGGAGAGGTGTTGAATATTAGTTGCAGCGGATAGTAGTTCTGGTTGGTGTGTGAGGGAAATCTGTTGATTAGGTACACCGCTGTATCGACTGCTTCATACCAGTAGGTGAGAGGTATGGAAGCCGTCTGAAGCAGAGTTTTGGTGGTATCAAGAATGTGGCGATGCTTGCGCTCTGCCACTCCATTCTGTTCCGGTGTATATGGACAGGATACCTGATGATGAATGCCATTGGATCTGAGATAGGATTGAAATTGGTGATTTATATACTCACCTCCTCCGTTAGTGCGGATTGCTTTAACTTTGTTATTCGTTTGTTTTTCAATAAAAACAATAAACTGAATAAAGTTTTGCACAACATCAGATTTAGAGACTAAAGGAAACAGCCAACAGTAGCGAGAGTAATCATCAATAATGAGGAGATAGTATCTAAATCCATGGTGGGCAGTGACCGGAGACGGTCCCCACACATCGAAATGTAGTAGTTGAAGTGGTTTATTAGTTCTATTTGCAGAAAGATCAAACGGCAGTTTATGGCTTTTACACAGTTTGCAAGAAACACAATTGTAATATTTTTGAGAAATATGAAGACTAGGATGCGTTCTTGAAATGTGCTGTATAGTCCTGTGGTGAGGATGACCGAGTCGTTGATGCCAGTTTATCGCTGAAGCCGCTACAGCCGACAGAGCTTGTGTGGAGGTAGCTGCTTTCTTTATTGCTATTGGGTAGAGACCCTGTTTACATGGACCGGTGAGAAGAACTTTGTTGTTCTGCAAATACTTAAAAGTAAATCCATCAGGAGTAAAAGTAATAGAAATTTGATTATCCGAAACAAGATTGGATATGGAGAGAAGGTTATGTGATATGGAAGGTATATGAAGTAATTTGGATAAAATTAACTTACGATCTGGTGTTGGGAGCAGACCCGTACCCGAGTGAGCGATCGGGATGGATCGTCCGTCCCCAACCATCACCTGATCAGAAACATGGTAGCTTGAACCTTGACTGAGTTGATCGTTCCGATTCGTCATGTGCGCTGACGCGCGAATCCAAATACCAGTCTGTGGATGTGGCCTCTGTTGAGGCAAGCAGCGCATTGTTTGTGTCATTGTTGTTTAGTGTAAAATTGGATCATGATGATGCCAGTACGCATCCGCAGTGTGACCTCTTTTGAGGCATATCTGGCATTGAGTTGTGGATTTTGATCCTTGTTTTGGTGCTGTACCAGAGAAATATTGATTACGGCCCCTGCCCCTACGACCGCGACCTCGGTTTGCATATAACGCAGTTGTGGGTTCTTGCTGAGTTGCTGAACGCAGTGTGTCCGTTTGAATGTGAATTTCCTCGCTGATTAACATTGCATACAGGTTATCAAGCTTGAGAGGGGTCTGTAGTGTCCGGATAGCCGTTTTAAACGATTGATATGCAGGTGGAAGCCCATTCAGAATATGGAGGATGATATCCTCAGTGTCAATTGTGGAGCCGGCAGAGGCAATGTTGTCCACGATCTTCTTTATCTCGGTAAGATAGGTTTGCATAATCATATTTTTCATGGCTATGTTGTGTAACTCATTCTTGAGTTGCATGACCTTGGAGCGATTGGATGATTGGAATCGGGTTTGAATGCTTCCCAGATTTCGAAAGTAGAATCAAGATGCATAATGTAAGGAATGACCGGAGCTGATATGGTGGAACATATTGTCGCAGCCAAATTTTGATCGGTGAAGGTTCGATAGTCCTCATCTTGATCTTCTTGATCCGGATGATTGGACGGATCGAGAAAACTTTCGAATCCATTGGCCTTGAATAGCTTGACGATTTGATTCCTCCATATCAGATAGTTGTCCGGTGATAGTTGATGGGGAACTGGGGTTTTTAGATGAGACATGATAAATTTGAGAGAAGGGTAAAGGGTTGATTTGGATGTCGCAGTTGTTTCGGTGATCGTCGGAGTAGATGACGAAGGTTGCGACAGAGACGCCATGATCAGAGCTGGTCGAAGAATCAGTCTGCTACTGATACCATGTAGAAACTGAAGTGCCGGCGAGAGAAGTGTTCGCCGGACTTGGAGAAGATGAGCTCACAAGAAGACAGAAAGGAAAATGATTTATTTCATTGGTTGCTTTACATCAGAGTACACATACCTATAAATAGATGAGACAGAGTAACTTTACACGTGTAAGCAAATGATATGTTTACAAGAAACTTATTAACAGGTTATTATAGGTAACTAAGTGATTAGGTGGTAATAGTTAGAGCTCACCAAATTATCATTCACTTTCTCCACCTGAACACACTCACCATTACTTGCCAAATTCACGGCAGGATTACCCGACATCTCAATGACAGGAACAACACCACCATCCACAGCACAGGGAACAAAACGATCAGAATCGACCCCTCCCCCCCCTTAGGCGAGAGACCAGCCGATTCCTCAATAACAACCAGATCTTTAGGGCTGTCAATTCGGGTCAACCCGTCGGGTTCGGGTCGAACCCGACCCGACCCAAATTTAAACGGGTCAACCCGAACCCGACCCGTTTTCTCAAACGGGTTAGACATTCCAACCCGGACCCGACCCGAGTGGGTTACGGGTTGACCCGACACGACCCGTTAACCCGAATAATCCTCATTTTTACACGGGTTGCCGGGTTAACCCGACCCGACAACCCGATAATTTGTTTTATATATATATATATATATTTTGCTTTTAAAGGAAAAAATGCATAGAGCAATAAGCCAATAATAAATAACATAAGATTACATATTTACATCATTTTTTGAATACAAGATTATCGGGTTACACTTATAATAAAATAAAAGATTACAAGTTAATAATTGACAAATGACAAGTTACAACTTACAATACAAGATTTTTTTTTTTAATACAAGATTACAATTTACAAGTTACAATAAAATTAACTACAACTAGAACAGTAGAACAGCCGGAGTGGTGAGTGGCGAGCTCATTTTTGTCTTTCACCCTTTAATGAACCTGCAACTCTGCAAGCCTGCAAAACAAAAGAATAAACAAATATTGGCTTATTAGGGCCGTAGGCTCAGGATGAACCTAGCAAAGAAACATCATATGCAACTAGAACAGGAAAAATGCCATCCAAAGTTACAAATTGGTAATTCTCTATTCAATTAAATAATATCTGCTCAAACCAAACCAATTTATAACTCGGTTGCATTTAACTGTGTCGCAACTAATGCATAACTTCACCAAGTTCTTCATCATCGCCTTATAATTTATAAACATCAGCATTCAGCCATTCAAACTGTAGGCCTAAGCATCTGCAAGCTGCAGCTGCTGCAGGTCATAGCCTATCAATTCGGGTTAAGCAGCTGCAATATGCTCAAACGGTCAAACCAAAACAATAGGCCTAAGCAGCTGCAAT